CGCTCAGACCGAGGAGGGATTCCTCGGGAAGGAGTTCATCAACTTCGTCAACGGAAAGGGCATCATTTACGACCTGATGTGCCCTTACACTCCGCATCATCCACTCTTCGCCTCCTTCTTGACTTAGGTGCTCGCTTGAATTGGGAGATCCATTCCATGGACGTCTCCAATGCTTTCCTCCAGGGCGAGTTGCATGAGCGCATATTCCTTGAGCGCCCCGCCGGCTTCCCTCGCCCTTTCCCTCCATGCACTGTCTGGGAGCTGAAGCGTCCAGTGTATGGTCTTAAGCAGGCCCCACGTGAGTGGCATGCTAAGCTAGCCTCCACCCTTCACTCTCTTGGCTTCTCCACCTCCTCTTCCGACCCCAATCTCTTCATCCGCACTTCCCCCCACACGCTTTACATTCTTGCATACGCTGATGACTTGGTGCTCCTCGCTGAAGATTCTGCCGACCTTGCCGCTGTCAAGCAGGCCCTCCAGGCGCGTCTCCTGTGCAAGGATCTTGGCGAGCTTCGCCACTACCTCGGCTTGGAGATTCGTCACGATCTCAATCTTTCTACATTAACTCCATCCTTGAGCGCTTTGAAATGTCGCAGGCCAAGCCAGTTTCCACTCCTCTTCCCGCTAACCATCAACTTACTGCCCCTGCCGTTCTCGCTCCCTCCTCAGAACTACGACCCTATCTTGAACTCGTTGGGTCACTCATGTATGGTATGATGTGCACTCGCCCCGATCTTGCTTACCCCCTCAGTGTCCTCTCTCGCTTTGTTGGCCTTGGTCGCCACACTGACGTGCCCTGGGCGGTTGCCAAGCGCGTTCTCCGCTATCTCCGCGCTACCTCTGATCTTGCACTCATTCTTGGTGGCTCTTCTCCCCCCTGTTCTTTCCGATTACAGTGATTCCTCCTATGCTGATTCTCGCCCTGATCGCCGCTCCTCTCAGGGTTATGGTTTTACTCTTGGCAACGGTCTTATCAGCTGGCGCTCCACTCGCTCATCCTCTGTCCGCCTTTCCACCTGTAAGGCTGAGTTGTACGCAGGCACATTGGCAGCTCAGGAGACTCGCTGGCTCTCCTTTCTCCTTGCAGAGCTTGGTCACTCTCAGCCCTCTGTTACGCTCTCCTGTGACAGTGCGAGCATGATTCATCTCACTGAAAATCCAGTCTATCACGCCCGCAGCAAACACATAGAGGTCCGCTACTTCTTCGTGCGCGAGCTGGTGCAGTCTGGCTTCTTGCGTCTTCGCAAGGTGGACGCTACTGCCAACCTTGCTGACATATTCACCAAAGCCCTCCTGCGTGCGCCACACCGTTTCTACGTGCGCGAGCTTGGGCTCACGCGTCTCTCCACTTCTGGGGGTGTGCCGATTCGCTAGGTGTTTTGCTCCATAGCTTCCCCTAGCCTGGGGGTGTGTTGGAGTAGGCTAGAGCTCGCTCTGGCCTTTATTTGGGTGTTCTCTTATCATTCCACCATGCTTAGAGCGAGATACGCTTCCAGGTTCATTTTAGGTTCATTTTGTAGCTATAGCAGACACTGAACACACCCTAAGTTCAATTAGGGTTTCCAATTCTTGTCTAGACTTTTAATCTCGACACTTCCTTTCTAATGCAATTTCTTCTCTCGCTAGTTCTCTCAAGGAAGCCATGGCTTTCTCTAGCTTAACTTTAACAAGCGCAAACGCGCAAGGCATCGTCAGCACGAGACAACAACACATACATTCCATTCAACGACGTGCTCTACGTGCCAGACCTCCGCTTCAACCTACTGTCTGCAGCACAACTTTTTGATTGTGGAGTCACGTTCACCACCGACCCTTACACACGCGATTTCATCCTCAACGACGCTCCTCCTGACACTCCCGTCGAAACTCACAATACCTCCGGCGAGCACGCTCAATCAACGGAGTCGACGTGCTCGACTTTGACATACCTGACAGTAGAGCAACTTTAGAAGAGCTTGTGGATGTTGCTCCCTTGGACTTTGCCTACAAAGAAGAAGACTCCTGGAAGCACCCAGATGGACGGCCGTGGATCAGACTCAGTCCTCACCCTTGCGAGATAAACCATCACCAGCCCGGACTCTGCACCACCTGCTTGACGCCCACGGCGAGCCGCACAGAAGAAGTAGAAAGAGAATTCGCAATTGCCGATAGAAGGCATGATAGAGATGGAGCTGGCCGTTACCACCCATCTCATCTTCGGCACCGAAAATGAAGAGCTCGGCATGACAGGACAGGAACGTCCAACGCCCGCAGCGGAAACTCCCTGCTGGATCCTGGAGGAAGCAACAGCCGAAACGTTCGACGAGGAGAACCGACCACGTCCTTACTCATGCGAGGTCTACCGCCACATAGACAAGGAATGGAAGGACCCTGACGCACCTGAAGACCTCAGTGTCAAAGAAGAGGAGGCGAAAGCAAGAGAGGATTATACCGAAACGACTTGCGGGAGGATGGGATGAAGAATCTTCACGAGCCGGAGGTTGGGGAACTGACACACTGGAGCAACTTGGGGATCTGGCACCGTAAGCGGCTGGGTGACCGACGGAGGCACCGGTAGAGGAGGCTGGGGCACCGCGTAAGCAACTGGGACAACGTCGGGGCCTGGGGCTTGACTGAAGGGGAGCTCACCAGCGAAGAACTAGAGGAGGCAGAGCGAGAAATCGTTGGTGAACAAACATCGCCAAGAGTTGTAGTTCCTCTCGACCGACCTCTGTGCAATCTCCCATCACCGCCTCGTTCACCTCATACCTGGGACTGGACCTGGTCAGAATTTGAGGAGGGCAACATACTTGCAACTCCGCCACGTGACGGTCACGGACCAATCTCGCGCACAGATCCCTTCGCCCGCTTCATCGAAGGCACCAGAACTCCGCTAAACATCATCCCCGTTCGCAACTTCCTCGCGCTGACGGAACTATCGAGCGCTTTAAAGCACGATGGGTCATACGCGGGTACGACCCGCGCCATGGCATCGATTTTGACCAAACCTTTGCCCCCGTAAGCCGCCACACCTGTATGCGGATTCTACTCGCTATCACTGCCACCAAGCACCTACCACTACGGCAGATCGACGTCAAGAATGCGTTCTTATACGCACTCGACGACGCCACCATTTTCGTGGAGCAGCCGCACACCTATGGGGAAGGAGACCCCAGGGTCTGTTAGCTAATGAAATCCCTCTAAGGGATCAAGCAGGCGCCGAATCTATGGCATTAGCACCTGCACAAAATTCTCCTCGAGATCGGCTTCAGGCAGCTACCACACGACCCTTGAATGTACTGCCTCCATTTCAACAGTGACTACATCCTCCTGACGGTCTACGTCGACAATCTACTGTACACCGGCACCTGCAACAAGCTCCTCAACCAGTTTGAGGAAAATCTGGCGCAGCGCGCTGACATCACCATCAACCACAAAGTCACTCAGTTCTTGGGGTTGAACATCACATACGCGCTAGAAGAAATTCATCTGTCAGCCTCCAAGTACGCAGAGGAGCTGGGAGAGCGCTTCAAAATTTTGCCCGCACCACTCTCAACTCTTTACCGCACTCCCAGCGCCAACTACAAACCGGACAACAGACCTCTGTCGTGCGCAGGGCTCCAACTGTACCAGCAGCAACTGGGGTGCCTGCTGTTCGCCTCTGTCACCTGCCGACCCGACCTTTCGTACATCGCCAGCCAACTGGTACAGTACTCACGCAAGCCAGTAGCTGAGAACCAGCTGGACGTGGAGCGCCCCCTACATCACTTTGTCTCCACACATGACATCGGGCTCTCCTACTCCACGCTGACAACAACTTCTTTCAATCTCACCGTCTACGTGGATGCAGAGCACGCCGCTGACCCTGCTAATCGAAAGTCACGAACCTGCTTCATCTTTTGCCTGGAGCCAACGGCCCCAATTTCTTGGAATTCGCAGAAGCACGAACTGGTTGCCCTGTCATCAGCTGAAGCAGAATACATAGCCACGACAGCTGCATTTCGCGAAGGACTCTACCTGTAAGAGCTGATGCAGGAGGCGATAATTCCAACTTCACCTACTTTTCGTCTTCACTTCGACAACCAGAGCGCCATCAAGATCGTGAACAAGCCAGGGTTCGTCAACCGCACGAAGCACATTGCGCTTCGGTACTTCTTTCGTCAAGGACAAAATCGTCCAAGGCAAGGTTGACCTTACGTACTGCCCTACCACTGAGATGGCAGCCGACTTACTCACCAAGCGACTGCAACGTGAGCAGTACCAGCACTACTCCAACCTCACGGGAGTAGTCAAGCAAGTCAGCCCCGGACACGTCCAGGAATAAAGGGGGGTGTTGCGATATGAAACTTAGATGAGAAGGCATTCCTGTACGCTGCAGGAGCCGACTCTACCAAGTGCGATGTTGAGGAGCCAAAAGAGCCGAAGCGACACCAGCCACCGTCAAATCAAGACCAGTGCAGGCAAAAACATTTGAACTACAAAGAGCGAGAACAGGTTTGAAACAGGCTCCTGCGTCGCACGGTTTGAAATCGTTGTAATAAGGGAATGTACCCCTTAGAGGCCATCGCTAGTCTAGGTCGTTTCGCATTCCTTTGTATTTCATATATAAACTCGATGTATGCATGCTATTATCATCTCAGTTATTTACATTCACTCTGACCTGAGGTCAACACTTCCGCTGCAGCATGTCAGAGGTCCACTGGTGATCCCCGATTGATCCTAGGGAAGGGTTACAGGCACGTTGGCCTGGGGGGTTATGGGCGCACTGACCCGCTACTTAAACAAGCCCTTTTATCCCAATGGTCTAGTGGTTGGGATTCTGACACAGCACTACTTGCGATCTGCCCTGAGCCGATCCGTTGCTACGTCCTGTTTAGGATTGTAACAGGAGGTACCTAGTACTGTTGCTGCTGCTGCTACGGTCACGGCTTATGTTTACGTTGTTTCTGCTGCTGCTGAAAATGCTTCTGTCGTTGCTGTTTTGGCGACTCCACTTGTCTGTGTGTTATAAAGGCGAACAGATGAACCTTATTGTTGCCTTTGTTGTCATACAGATCGATGTCTTGCTGTTCAGCAAGAATTGTTGCGCATGTCGGAACATTATAGCTTATACATCTGTGTAGGCTGTATGGGGTAGCCCATAAGGGGTACAACCCAATTAGGGTTAGTACTTGTACCCAACTGTTTCATAGTTTATTCATTCTCGTTCATTTTCTCATGGTATCGAGCAGGTTCCCCTGTGGGAACTGTTCCTAGGGCCCACCACTTTTTTTTTCTGCCCGGAGCGTGCTCTACTCTGCCCGAGTCGCGCTCCCCTCTCACGGCCTCGTCGCGCCGCCCTTTACCCTGTCGCACCGCCTTAGCGGCCCCGTCGCGTCGCGCTTGCGGCCCTGTCGCGCCGCCCTAACGGCCGCGTCGCGCCGCCCTTGCGGCTCCGATCCACCGCCCTAGCGGCTCCGTCGCGTCGCGCTGCCCGCGCGGCCTCTTCAGGCCGCCCTCGCGACCCCCCTCCTAGCCGCCCTAGCGGCCCCGTCGCCTGCCCCTGCGGCCCCGTCGCCTACCCCTGCGGCCCCGTCGCCTACCCCTGCGGCCCCGGCGCAGCCCTTCCCGGCCGCGGCGCCACCTCTGCTGGCCCCGTCACCTACCCCTGCGGCCCCGACGCCGCCCTTCCCGGCCCCGGCGCCACCTCTGCTGGCCCCGTCACCTACCCCTGCGGCCCCGACGCCGCCCTTCCCGGCCCCGGCGCCGCCTCTGCTGGCCCCGTCGCCTACCCCTACGGCCCCGACGCTGCCCTTCCCGGCCCCGGCGCCTCCTCTGCTGGCCCCGTCGCCTACCCCTGCGGCCCCGGCGCCACCTCTGCTGGCCCCATCGCCTACCCCTGCGGCCCCGGCGCCGCCTCTGCTGGCCCCGTCGCTGCTCCACTCGGCCCCGCCGCCGTCCCCACGCGGCCCCGCCATCACCACCGAGCCACCGGCGCCGCCACACTGCTGCCGAGCCGCCCGCCACCCGAGCCGCCCGAGCCGCCGCACCACGCCGAGCCGCCCGAGCCGCCTGAGCTGCCGAGTCGCTGAGCCGCCCGAGCCGCCCGAGCCACCGAGTCGCCCGAGCCGCCGAGCCGCCCGTGCCGCCGAGTCGCCGAGCCGCAGTTGCTGCCGAGCCGCCCGAGCCGCATTGTCCGGTAAGAGCAGCGCCTCTATCACTGAGTGCCCTTACCCTATTGTTCGCGCTGCTAGTCTACTGCTGTCATGGCTACCCCTAATGTCCTCGCTTTTGACGCTGAGGGTCGGGCTATTGACTTTGACGTCTGGATAGATGACCTGCATCTTTTCCTACAGTGCGATAGGGCAGACGGTCTCTCCCTCTTTGACCTCACCTCTGGCGCCTCTCCTGCCCCTGCTGCTGATGCTGACGCCACTGTTCGCTCCCAGTGGGCCACACGCGATGCTGCTGCACGTCTTGCTGTGCGTCGCCACCTCCCTACCTCTGAGTGTGCGCACTTTAGCCAGTACAAGAGTGCTCAGACCTTGTACGACGCTGTAGTTGCACGCTACTCCTCCCCTGCCACTGCTGCACTGAGCCGCCTCATGCTACCGTACCTCTTCCCTGACCTTGCTGCCTTCCCCACAGTCGCTGACCTCATTACGCACCTCCGCACTAGTGACACTCGCTACCGCGCTGGGCTTCCTGCTGAGTTCTGCGCCAAGAACCCCCCCCCCCCCATGTACATCACCCTCTACTACATAGTCACCCGGCTCCTTGACTCTCTCCGTGTAGTCAGGGACCACTTCCTCTCAGTTTGCCCCACCACTCTCACTGTTGACCTCCTCGAGAAGGCCCTCCTAGCAGCAGAGAAGAGCATAGTCGCTGTAGGAGCCTCTCGTGGTGACCCTCGCACCCCCGTCTTTGAGGGGTGTTCCCCCTCCCCCCTCCTGCCCTCTGTTGCCTCTGCTGCTGCGGCCGACCGCGTTGGTTTCGAGTCGGTCGGCGCTGCGTCTGCCCCGAGTGGGAGACCCCGCACCGGCAAGGGCAAGGGGGGCAAGGGCGCTGGAGGGGCTGGCGGGGGTGGCGGAGGTGGCGGTGGAGGCAATGGAGGGGGTGGGGGTGGTGGTGGGAGTGGTGGTGGGGGTGGAGGTGTTGGTGGCAGCAGTGGAGGCGGAGGCGGCGGCGGCGGTGGCGGTGGGAGCGGAGTTGGCGGAGGTGGCGGCGGTGGAGGAGGCGGCGGCAGAGGAGGTGGAGCTGGTCGGGGTGGCGCTGCGCAGAGGGTCGGCTCCGGTGGTGGTCAGCGCCAGCAGCAGCAGCAGCAACAGCAGCAGCGCACTCGTGACATCCCCCCCCCCCCCCTCAGTAGCTCCATGAGTGGTACGCTGCAGGCCAGCGGGGTGGGGGTACTGGTCCGTGCACCTACGTCCTACGCACCGTCGACCGCGCGGGTGAGCAGTGCGGGGGTGCGCACTCCACCCAGCGCTGCTTTGGCTGCCTGACGGACGCTTGGCGTCACCAGTTCCCTGAGGCCACTGAGATCCCTCGCTGAGGCGAGCTGTCTAGGGCGGGAGTAGCTATCTTTGACCTTGACTTTGATGCTATTCTTGCTGCCATGTATGCTGTGACTATTAGTGATGAGCGTGACTGTTACCAATGTTTTCCGCCCGACCCGGGCATTGAGACTGCTGCTCTAGGTGCTAGGGAGGCTACTGCTCTAGGTGCTAGCGAGGCTGCTGCTCTAGGTGCTGGTGCATCTGCTTCCTCAGGTGCTGGTGAGTCTGCGCTCTCAGGTACTACATCGGCTTCGGCCTCCCACACCTTCACACTTGACCCGGGTCTCAGAATCCCAACCACTAGACCATTAGGATAAAAGGGCTTGTTAAGTAGCGGGTCAAAGTGTGCCCATAACCCCCTAGACGAACGCTCCTGTAACCCTTCTAGGATCAATAGGGCATCAACCCTGCTCTCTCAGGTACTGCATCGGCTCCGGCCTCCCACACCTTCACCCTTGACTCGGGGGCTTCTCGCTCCTTCTTTCGAGACCGCACCACACTCACGCCGCTTGGTCGGCCAGTTGCAGTCTCTCTGGCAGACCCCTCTGGGGGTCCAGTCCTTGCTCACTTCTCCACTGTCCTCCCGTGTCCGGCGGCCTCCTCTGGCACCCTGTCTGGTCTTAACCTCCCCCCGTTCTCTACGAACTTGGTGAGTGGTGCTGACCTGCAGGATGCGGGGGTTCACCAGTTCACTCCTGCGAGTCAGCGGGTGACCCACTGCACGGACGCTCGGACAGGCCGACACCTGGCCAAGTTTACACGTTGGCAGGGGTCGAGCGTGTGCACACTGACCACTGTGTCACCTCCCACTGCGTCTGGTCAGGTAGCTGTGTCGGGTCAGGTGTTTGCTGCAGCGCCCAGGTCTGGTCCTGAGTCTGCCCCCTGCTCGTGTCGCCTCCTGTCTCATGAGACTCTCCTCTGGCACCACCACCTTGGTCACCCCTCCGTGCTTCGTCTCCGAGGCATGGCTTCCCGTGTCCTTGTCTCTGGTCTTCCCCGGTCCCTCCCTCCCCTTCCTCCGGGGCCTGCCCCTACCTGCGTCCCCTGCGTCGAGGGGCGGCAGCAGGCTGCCCCTCACTCCTCCCAGTTTCCTCCGACAGAGGCCCCGCTGCAGACGCTTCACATGGACGTGTGGGGCCCGGCCCGCGTCCGTGGACAGGGTCACGAGTGCTACTTCCTGCTGGTGGTTGACGACTACTCGCGTTACACCTCAGTCTTCCCCTTGCGCAGCAAGGGTGATATCACTGAGGTGTTGATCGACTGGATCCACGCAGCTCGTCTCCAGCTCAGGCAGAGCTTCAGCTCGGACTTTCCTGTTCTGCGTCTGCACTCTGACAGAGGCGGAGAGTTCTCCTCTGGCCTTCTGCGAGCCTACTGTCGTGCACGAGGCATCCGCCAGACCTTCACGCTTCCGGACTCTCCACAGCAAAATGGGATTGCTGAGTGCCGCATTGGCATGGTCATGGACGTCGCCCGTACGTCCATGATGCATGCGGCTACCCCCGATTTTCTGTGGCCGTTTGCGGTTCGGTACGCGGCGCATCAGATCAACTTCAGCCCAGGGTCTCCATGCCGGAGACCTCCCCAGCTTTGCTGTGGACCGGGAAGGTTGGCGATGCATCTGCGTTCCGTGTCTGGGGATCTCGGGCATTTGTTCGCGACCTGTCTGCGGACAAGCTGTCCCGTCGTGCTGCGCCTTGCGTCTTCCTTGGCTTCCCCCCTGACGCGCCAGGGTGGCAATTCTACCACCCCACCTCTCGCCATGTTATGTCCTCCCAGGACGTCACGTTCGACAAGTGGGTCCCCTACTACCGCCCCTTCCCCTACCGCAGTTCGTCCCTCCCCCCGCCACCGCTCTTCCTTGTGCCAGGTCCTTCCCTGGTAGACCCCCTTCCCCCTCAGGGTCCTACCCTTTCAGGTATGTCCCAGGTAGACGCAGTTGAGCCTGTCGAGATAGCTGGTGACTCTGGTGCTGCTGAGGGTGCTGTGCCTCGGGGTGCTGACTCTGGGGGTGCTGAGCGTGTGGGTGCTACGCCTGGGGGTGCTGAGACTGAGGGTACTACGACTAGGGGTGCTGAGCCTGGGGCTGCTAAGCCTGGGGGTGCTACGCCGGGGGGTGCTGAGCCTGGGGGTGCTGAGCCTGGGGGTGCTGAGCCGGGAGGTGCTACGCCTAGGGGTGGTGAGCCTGGAGGTGCTGATCCTGGGGGTGCGGAGCCTGAGGGAGCTGGGCCTGCTCGTGTGGCGTCTGGCGGTGCTGTGCCTGGCGGTTCTCCGGGTGCTTCGTCTCAGCGGGAGCCACTCTCTCCACAGAAGCTGCGCGAGTGGTTTGCCCGGCGCAGGAGGCGTGCTGCTAGAGCTGGAGTTTCTTCGGCTGCTGAGGGTGCTGGTGCCGCTAGTCCCGGAGGTGCTCGTACTGGGAGTACTGGAGCTCCTGGGCCTGCGGGTACTTCTGGAGCTGGAGCTGCTGAGGGTGTTGGCGCTGAGGCTACTGCTGTTGGTCCTGGAGGCGGTCCAGCTGGGGGTGCTACTGGTGCTGCTGGAGGTACTGGAGCTGGAGGTCCTGCGGGCGCTGGTGCTACCGCTGGTGGTACTGGTGCTTTCTCTGCTGTGTCTAGAGTCGCCGCGCGGCCTCGGCCGTACTTTGTTCCGCTCCTTCAGCAGGTTCTTGGTCTCCCGCCTTCTACTGGTCCTCCTCCCTTAGAGTGTCCACAGCCTGTCCCGTCACAATTACAGTTACAGCTGGCCTCCCTACTGCTTGCTCCTTCTCCCTACACTGGTCCTACTGGAGGTCTTGTTGAGCGTCGTGAGCCTGCGTCTCGCCCTACGTCGCATGTCCGTGCTGCTCGCACTAGTGGTCGTGGTTCGCGTCAGCGTCCTCCTCCTGTCCCTGGCACGCACCGGATGTCTCTGCGTCCGTCCACTGCTCCTCTGCGTGCCCCTTTGCCTTCTCCTCCTGAGTCCTCTCTTCCTGCTCTTGCCGACCCGGAGTCGGACTCTCTTCGTGCTGCCAGTCCTACTGTCACGCGTCTCCTTGCTACTGTTGTCACTGACCCTTCCGTTGAGTCCACTGCTGCGTCTACCCCAGTTGCTGAGCTCGTCGACTTTGCTGCTCGCTGTCGCCTACACTACGCCGCCAGTCTTGTTGCTGAGTCTGAGTCTGTCTGTCCTCCGTCCGTCGGGGGTGAGTGTGCTCTTTGCACGGACGTCCTTGAGGACAGGCAGGAGGAGCTCCAATGCTTGGCTGCTGCTTCACCTCATCTCGTGTCCGTACTGCTTACCCCTGAGGGAGACCCGGATGCACTTGACATCCCGACTCCGCGCTCTTACGCGGAGGCGATAGAGGGTCCCTACTCCTCTCAATGGCAGGCATCTATGGACGCAGAGATGGCTTCCTGGAAGTCCACAGGGTTGGTCTTTGCCACTGCTGACACTGCTCGACTCGCCTACGTGAAGTCCGAGCTGCAGAAGAGACACACGTGCACTGACCTGGGTGAACTGCGCAGCTACCTTGGCTTGCAGATCACCCGGGACAGAGCAAGCCGCACCATTACCCTGACTCAGTCACACATGGTGCAGCAGGTCCTTCAGCGCTTCGGCTTTACGTACTCCTTGCCTCAGACCACTCCTCTGCCTACTCGCCACTCGCTCTCAGCTCTACCTTCGGATGAGTCCGTAGAGTCGAGTGGCCCGTACCCAGAGCTTGTTGGCTGCCTCATGTACCTGATGACCTGCACACGACCTGACCTTGCATACCCTCTTAGCATTCTCGCACGCTATGTTGCTCCTGGGAGACACAGACCGGAGCACATGGCTGCAGCGAAGAGGGTGTTGCGCTACTTGTGCAGTACGTCGGGCATGGGGCTTGTGCTTGGAGGGCAGAGTCCAGTGGTCCTCACTGGGCACGTAGACGCTTCTTGGGCTGACGACCAGGCTACGCAGCGATCGTCACAGGGTTACACATTTAGCCTTGGTTCCGGCTCTGTTTCGTGGCGGGCTACTCGCTCGTCTTCTGTTCTCGGCTCCAGTTGTGAGGCTGAGATCTACGCAGGAGCCATGGCTGCACAGGAGCTTCGCTGGCTCACCTACCTGCTGACTGACCTCGGAGAGCCGCCTTGTTCTCCTCCAGTGCTGTACGTAGACAACAAGGCCATGCTGGCCATGTGTGGGGAGCAAAGACTGGAGCACAAAACGAAGCACATTGCTCTCCGCTACTTCCTTGCTCGTAAGTTGCAGCAGCGTGGTCAGCTGCGTCTTGCGTACGTGGCCTCTGAGGCCAACACTGCTGATATCTTCACCAAGGCGCTTGCGCCTTGTGATCATCAGCGCTTCTGTACTCATCTGGGTCTTGTGCCTGCCATGCCTCACTTGCTCACCTCTTGACCTTGTTTGTACTGTTACATATATATATACACCTGCTCTTGCTTGTCTAGCCGTTCATATATATGTACTCCTGCATGTGAACTGGCCTTGTGGCCTTGAACTTGTGCTCGGAATGTGTGGTGACTTTGTGATCCACCCTGAGCTTGCTTTGCTTTGCTTGACTGGTCTTGTGACCCCTTGTTCTCCCCCACTTTGCCTATGGGGGTGTGTCGGAACATTATAGCTTTTACATCTGTGTAGGCTGTAGTGGGGTAGCCCATAAGGGGTACAACCCAATTAGGGTTAGTACTTGTACCCAACTGTTTCATAGTTCATTCATTCTCGTTCATTTTATCAGGGCATAGATGCATTTCCAAAACGTTTCTTTGAGTACAAAGAAGGGAGCGTGTCTGACGCCACTGAGGTCCAAGCCCGGCAATGACAATTGTCACGAACATGGTCTCAGAGAAGGTCCCATAGCTTCGAACAAACTGGAAGGCAAAACCATGCTGCTGATCTGGAGTGTCGTTAATTGGAAACTATATCTTTCTAATGAAGTATTTCTAAATATGTGCCGGTTCCATCATGAGTTCAAACTCAAAACTCCAGGCAAAGAAATCCTTTTCGTCGAAGGGTC